GGAGCTGAGGAGCCCTGGTTGGCATTGGTGGAGGAAGTTGCTGCAGGGAGTTTTACATGTGGAGGTAGTTTTGAGGAGGGCTGAATAGGGTATGGGGTAGAGGCCTGACAGAGCTGAGGCATATTTCCTAGGGAAAAGAAAAGTTGCACATAAGGCACCTTAAACTATTTACTTTTGCTTTTACAATACAGGTTTAATTGAAGAATAGTGTTATGATTTATACTTTTTTTGGAAGCCAGGTTTTTTTACTTGGCAGGGGGTAATTTGGCCATGCTGATGAGTGGAGAAAGATGAGCTGCCTTTTTTAAAAAGGTTGTGTGTTAAATTGGTTTAAATTTTGTAGTACACATTTTAATGGGGACTTGAGCTTGGGGATAGAAGCACCCATCTGAAATTGAACACAAGGGATGTCTGCACCCCCAGTTAAAGAAATTACAGCACTTTGACCTGAGGCATTTCCCAGGTAAAATGAGTATTGAAATGTTTTTTGTTAGTACCCCAAAATTTTGTGTGCCTAAGACGTGTGATTTATTTTATTAGAGAGCCTTTTATGTACTGGATTTTAATTATGATCTACCAGGTAGAGACTCATTGCAGGGGCAGGGCTTCTGCAGGGTGCCTCCCCTAGGGTAATGCTGAGCAGAAATGTATAGCTGAAGCTGCCACAAATCGTCCCCACAAGGGCAATGCCTAGTGAATACATGGAAGTGGACCACCACTGGGACTTTAGAACTATAGAGCCATTACCCCCATACAGCCTCAGCCTGGAAAAGCCACAAGCTCCAACTCCAACCAGTGAGAGCAGCCATGTGCTTGTACCCAACAAAGCAATGGAGGTGAGGCTGCCCAAGGCTTTAAGGATAAAACTCTCCACTGTGCCCAGGATGTAGAACATGGAATGGAGGATTATTCTGGAGCTTTCAGATTTAATGTCTGCCCTGCTGAGTTTTGAACTTGCTCAAGGCCTGTCACCTCTTTCTTCTTTTTGCCTGTTTCTTCCTTTTGGAATGGGACTGTCTGCCATATGACTATTCCACCATTATATCTTGGAAGTAAATAATTTGTTTTTTATTTTACAGGCTCATAGCTAGAAGGAATTTGCCTTGGGTCTTGGGTTTCTTTGGTGGTCTTTAATTTTATCCTGTTCTGTATTTATCATTTTCCACCAAGAAATAATAAGAAATTCTAAACTTTCTCTTGTCTTTTTGTTGTCTTCTGATTCCTCACCAAAATTATCCTTAATGCTCTGTTTATGGCAATACAGGCTTTTCCTAGAGTCTGTTCCTCCAAACTTTTCCAATCTCTGTCCATTATCCAGTTTCAGTGATGAGTCTACATTTTCAAGTATCTATATAGCAACATCCCACTGTCAGTACCAATTTTCTGTTTTAGTCTGTGTTGCTATGACAGAATACCTGAGACTGAGTAATTTATAAAGAGGTATATTTGGCTTGCAGTTCTGCAGTTTGAAAAGCATGACACTGGCATCGGCTTGGCCTCTGGTGAAGGCTTTAGTGTTGAGTCACAACATTTTAGAAGAAGATCAAAGGGGAATAGGCATGTACCAAAAGGCCAAGCATGAGGCATGACCTTACTATATAGCAACTCATTCTCATGGTAACTAATCCATTCCTGAGAGAACTAATGTAGTCTCACTCACTAGTGTAAGAATAGTACCAAGCTGCCACAAAGGAAGAGCTCCCAAGACCCGAACACTTCCTATTAAGCCCCACCTTTTAAGCATTCCAAAATGAATTTGACAAGGAGACTCAAACTATAGCAATAATAGAATAATTAGGAATAAATTTAACAAAATAAGGGCAAATCTGTGCAGTGAAAACTAAAAATCATCACTCAGATAAATGCCTAAATAAATAGAGAGATATATCATGCTCATGGATTAGATGACTCAGTATTGTAAGATGTCAGTTGATCTACAAATTAACTTCAATTCCTGCCAGAAGTCTAGAAATATTACTGTAAAAATTGACAAGCTGATTCTAAAATTATGTAGAAATATAAAAATACCTAGAATAGCCAAAACAATCTTGTTAAGTAAAAATGAAGCTAGAATACTTAGCACTGCCTTATTTTAAAATTTAGTGTAAAGCAACAGTAGTCAAAACAGTGTAGCATCTGCATTAAGATAGATAAATCAATGGGACTAAGTGGAGGTCAGAATCCAACCCACATAAATAGTCAATTGATTTTCATCAAAGATACTAAGACAATTCAATAGGAAAAACATGTTCTTTCAAAATGATTCTGTAAGAACTGTTATTCATTTACAAATTAAACCTAGATCCTTAGCTCATACATGAAAATTAACTAAAATGGATCATAGACCTAACAGTATGAGCTAAAACTGTAAAACTTCTAGGAAAAAAAATAGGAGAAAGTATTTATAACCTTTGACTAAGCAAAGGTTTCTTAGATATGATATCAAAAACAAGATCCATAAAAGAAAAACTGATAAACTGAACTTCATCAAAATGATGAAATCTTTGCTTTTCAAATATTTTTTAAATAAATGAAAGAAAAGCTATAGACTGTGAGAAAATATTGCCAAATATATTTCTGATAAAGAACTTATATTAGGCCAGATGTGGTTGCTCATGCCTGTCATTCCAGCACTTTGGGAGACCAAAGTAGGAGGATCACTTGAGCCCAGGAGTTTGAGACCAGCTTGTACAACATGGCAAAAAATTTTTGCAATCTCCCCATCTGACAAAGGGCTAATATCCAGAATCTACAAAGAACTAAAACAGATTTACAAGAAAAAAACAAACACACTATTCAAAATTGGGAGAAGGATATGAACAGACACTTTACAAAAGAAGACATACATGAGGCCAACAAACATATGAAAAAATGCTCATTGTCACTGGTCATTAGAGAAATGCAAATCAAAACCGCATTGAGATACTATCTCATGCCAGTTAGAATGGCAATCATTAAAAAATCTGGAGACAACAGATGCTGGAGAGGATGTGGAGAAACAGGAACACTTTTACACTGTTGGGGGAGTGTAAACTAGTTCAACCGTTGTGGAAGACTGTGTGGTGCTTCCTCAAGGACCTAGAACTAGAAATTCCATTTGACCCAGCAATCTCATTACTGGGTATATATCCAAAGGATTATAAATCATTCTATTATAAAGACACATGCACATATATGTTCATTGAGGCACTGTTTACAATTGCAAAGATGTGGAACCAACTCAAATGCCCATCGATGATAGACTGGATAGGGAAAATGTGGCATATATACACCATGGAATACTATGCAGGCATAAAAAATGATGAGTTTGTGTCCTTTGTAGGGACATGGATGAATCTGGAAACCATCATTCTCAGCAAACTGATACAAGAACAGAAAATCAAACACCGCATGTTTTCACTCATAGGTGGGTGTTGAACAAAGAGAACACATATAAACAGGGAGGTGAGCATCACACATTGGGGTCTGTTGAGGGGGCAAGGGAGGGACAGAAGGGGGATGGGGAGGTCGGGGAGGGATAACATGGGGAGAAAAGCCAGATGTAGGTGAGGCGGGGTGGAGGCAGCAAACTACATTGCCATGTGTGTACCTATGCAACAATCCTGCATAATCTGCACATGTACCCCAAATCCTAAAGTACAATAATAAAAAAATTACAAAAAAAAGAAACTATCTGTTTACAGATAGTTGTATATTACTTATTCCATGATGTGACAGAGTGAGATTCCTAACATTGACATCTTCTAAGCATACCCAGAGAAATTCTATATTTTTTGTATAAAGGAGACAGCGAGTATGTAGGGAGTTGGTAGAGAGAGAGAGAGAGAGAGAGAGAGAGAGAGAGATTGATTTTTAAAAAGAGAGTGCAAGAATAGGCACCCCCAAATAGAAAAAAAGAAAATCTCCTTTTCCTATAAATGTCTCCCAAACTGAAAATCAAAAATGAAAGAAAACAAAGGGGGAAAGGAGTTAACTAAGCCTAAAGTTTTAGTACTGATGTTCTAGAAATCCTCAACTAGTTCCTGAGCAAACTGTACTCCACACTCAGTGTATAATATTTGGTAATGAATACATGTTCCTCTCTGCTGCAGGACCTGGCCCTACTCTTAACAACTGCTCTGTAGAAATTGCCTTCTAAATAGACCACGTCATGGGAACATATGTATATTTACAAAGGAGTCCAATCACTTACACTGGCAGAAGAGGACTATTCAAGTTCACAGAAAATTTTGATCAGAAAATTTTGAAAAATATATTCAATATTTGAATATATTGATGAAAATGTAAAAGCAGCCCTTACTAATGAAAAAAAAATCAATGAATAAAATTTGCTTTCAAAAGTTTAAAGTTACCAAGCAGTAAATAAGAAAATAAAAATTTAAAACTTCAGTTACTTATCGTTTATCATTTTCAATGAATTTTTTGTTTTCTATAGGGAACAAAATTCTGTAGGCTTCTGGAAGCCCAAATCTCTTTCTCTTATAGGTTTAATAAAACAGAATACTTAAAAAACACACACACACACACACACAAAAGAAAACCTCTTTATAAGTATTTGTTGACGACAATATGCTTTAGAATTTTAGTGAAAAATCAAGTGTCATTCAACTTTTCACAAGGTTGTAGTTGTTTTAAAACTTAGGGCCCAATTTTAATAAGAAACATAATATTTCCAAGATTATAATGTTCTTTCCAGCTAACTTAAAACTAAATGTCAAAGTAGGTTTTAATTAAAACCTTAATGCTCCTTCTAATTCCAAAGAATTAACATAAAAAGGTATGACAAATACTAAAACATACACCTCTTAGGCAATTTTTTTTTCTGTTTTTGTCTGAAAGATTCAAGAAAATATTTCCTTTTTGTTTACATATTGCCTGTAACAGAGCTGATCATCTGATCTGGAGTATATCGATTAAGTAGTGTCTAATTGTCTTGTGTTTTAATATTTAGCAACCATATTTCTCATTTTCTCTTCATTTACATTTTCTATTTCACATACCATTTGTAATAATTACATTCAATACTCCTCTTAGAGGACAAGAACTGTATGTCTTCTCTTTTCTCTGTGGTTTTGTTTCTTCTGTGTCTGATAGGACAGTTTTAGTTTCTCCATGTGCAATACTATTAGGATCAATGAGACTCTGAAGTAAAACAAGAAAATCTTTTAGGAATTATACTTTTGGATAATTTTATGAGTGTACTAAACCAACAAATTTTAGAATTAAATTTATATTGTTACTGTCAACACGAGGAATCACATATAGAAAAGAAGATTCATGCTCCATATCAGTAGGTATTTGGGGATGTAACACCAGTGTATTTTTCAATGTACCTTGATTTAACCTTTTATAGACTTGAGTCCCCACCATTTTCATCATCATTTGTGTATACTGAATAAAGTTGCCATAACTATTTAAGTATAATAATGACAAGTGTCCATCCTCTTTATACATCCCAAAGATTATTCACCCAAACTCTTGTGAAATAAAAATAGAACTTAATTGGAAAGGAGGAGAAATATAATTTTATTTGGTTTCATTTCATTTAAAAAATTTATATAAATGAAAGAAAAATGAGAAAAATATAAGTGAAGCCTTCAGAAATTCAGGCATGCTTCCACTAATATTTATAGATAACATATCAGATAGTGCAAGGGGATACCTTAATCTCCTAGGCCTTTTAATGCTAGTCTAATTATAAAATTGCTGATTTGGGAAAGAAAAAAAAAGGAATCTTTGGTTTGTAAGAATATTGAGAAACTTCTTGCATTGTAAAAAAAAAAAAAAAAAGGTAAACTGATAACAACAAAACACCAGAGTAGGGTTAACTCTGCAATATAAATATCCAAATGTGCCTTATGGTTGTCATGGGTGGGTGGGTATTAGTGTGTATGAACCAGCAATTTGAGTGAATACTTTGAGTGAGTGAAAGAGGAAACATCACATCATCACAGGAAACAGTAAAAATGCTAGAGTGCATATACACACTGAGGAAGGAATTTTACATGTAATAACTCAGAAGACAAAGATATCAAAGCAGCTGATAGCTAAAAATGAATTTTTTATTCATTTATATCACCTTAATGTGATATAAAATCAATACGATCTTAAAATTTATTTCTATAGTTTACTTATTAGCTAGATTTCTTTTACATATATGGTTAAAAATGAAAAGTGGTAAATTTAAAAATAGCTAGTTTTAATGGATCCTAGGAAATGAGCAGAAATAATGAAACAAATGAAAAGGGGTGACTAGAGTATTTTAGAGCTAAAGAGCACAGATTTTAGGAATAAGGAAAAATGTTACTTATTATTTCTTGCCACATTCAGGGAAAACGCAGTAACTTAAATTAACAGGTAAAGATAAGTCTAGGCCAGGCGCGGTGGCTCACGCCTGTAATCCCAGCACTTTGGGAGCCTAGGCGGGTGGATCACGAGGTCAAGAGATCGAGACCATCCTGGTCAACATGATGAAACCCTGTCTCTACTAAAAATACAAAAAAGCTGGGCATGGTGGCGCATGCCTGTAATTCCAGCTACTCGGGAGGCTGAGGCAGGAGAATTGCCTGATCCCAGGAGGCGGAGGTTGCAGTGAGCCGAGATCGCGCCATTGCACTCCAGCCTGGGTAACAAGAGCTAAACTCCGTCTCAAAAAAAAAAAAAAAAAAGATAACTCTAGATTAATTAAAATGTTTTGCTGTGTATTTTGAAGAGACCCAAGTTTCTTATTTCTATAGCTATATAGAGCAAGTGATTAGAACTTTTGTCGATCTAGTTTTACTTAGTAATAGTTACTCATAATAAGAATTGTAAATTTCATTTTTTTAAAATAGAGATTTCTACAGTAAGCATCAAAAAGTCCATTTAAAAAATATTGTATATATTCACTATTGAGTCTATCTGTGAAGAAGTCATCTTAGTCTATATCAGTTTATTACAAATTCTAAAATAATAAAACTTAAAATAATATGGTTTTACTATATATAACCTTCACTCACCTTAATATTCACCATTGTCTTTTTCCCTTTTATATGGTAACAGAATTTTCAGAAAAAGCCACACCAAAACTCCAATACATTAATCATGTTCAGATTTGAAGAACTTTCATCTTAAAGAGCTACATACAAAAAAACTTACAATATATGATTTTTTTTACCTGAGGATTTGTAGATGTTTGGAAGTTTTCATCCTCCAAATATTCACTTTTTGATTCTGTGGTGTACATGCTAAGATTTAAAAGAAAAATACTTTGAAAGAAGAAACAAGACTATAAATTCATATGAAAACAAACATGGTTAAGTGGGATTAATTTTTTTAAAGGATGTTTGTTCTAAAGTCGTATCATAGTCAAATCAGATACCTTTATGGTCAAAACCGATTCAAATATTCATCTTTAACATAAGTAATCAAAGCCACAAGCAAAAGTTTTAAAAACCATTATCATATAGAAATGTAACATTTTTCAATAGCTCATAATGCTGGCCTATATCTTAGAAGCATATATCAGAAAATGCAGAAATTTATTTTATGCACTGAACTGTATGTTTAAGCTAGTGTCCACTGTTGATTTAATCTAGCTTCGATCATGCTCCTACATAAAAGACTCCAAAAAAATTTTAAATAAAATATGATCAACTACACTAATACCTACAGCTATTAAGTTACTAATACATACTATCTTTTTACATGGTCCGTTTGAAGGATATGTATGTAGGTCAAACATATAAACATATCTATAAAGTTTTATTTTGAAGAAGATAAACTAGAATAAAAGAATAATTACTTCTGATAACTTTTATTTTTTATTTATTTATTTTTTTGAACTCTGATTTTTTATTTTTTGAGTACTTCTTTATTTATTTTTTTCTTTTTTTTATTGCATTTTAAGTTTTGGGGTACATATGAAGAACATGTAAGATTGTTGCATAGGTACACACATGGCAGTGGGATTTACAGCCATCCTTCCTATCACCTATATCTGGCATTTCTCCCCATTTTATCCCTCCCAACTCCCCACCCCCCACTGTCTCTCCCCTATTCCCCTCCACAGACCCCAGTGTGTCAGGCTCCCATCCCTGTGTCCATGTGTTCTCATTGTTCAACACCCACCTATGAGTGAGAACAAGCAGTGTTTGATTTTCTGTTCTTGAGTCAGTTTGCTGAGAATGATGGTTTCCAGGTTCATCCATGTCTCTACAAAGGACATGAACTCATAGTTTTTGATGGCTGCATAGTATTCCATGGTGTATATGTGCCACATTTTCCCTGTCCAGTCAATCATCGATGGTCATCTGGGTTGGTTCCAAGTCTTTGCTATTGTAAACACTGCTACAATGAACATTCGTGTGCATGTGTCCTTATAATAGAATGATTTATAATCCTTTGGATATATACTTAGTAATGGGATTGCTGGGTCAAATACAATTTCTATTTCTAGGTCCTTGAGGAAGCATCACACTGTCTTCCACAATGGTTGAACTAATTTACACTCCCACCAGCAGTGTAAAATTGTTCCTATTTCTCCACATCCTCTCCAGCATCTGCTGTCTCCGGATTTTTAATGATCGCCATTCTAATTGGCGTGAGATGTTATCTCAATGCGGTTTTGATTTGCATTTCTCTAATGACCAGTGACAATGAGCATTTTTTCATATGTTTGTTGGCCTCATATATGTCTTCTTTTGTAAAGGGTCTGTTTATATCCTTCGCCCACTTTTGAATGGGCTTGTTTTTTTCTTGTAAATCTGTTTTAGTTCTTTGTAGATTCTGGATATTAGCCCTTTGTCAGATGGGTAAATTGCAAAAACTTTTCCCATTCTTTTGATTGCCGATTCACTCTAATGACTGTTTCTTTTGCCATGCAGAAGCTGTGGGTTTGATTAGGTCCCATTTGTCCATTTTGCCTTTTGTTGCCAATGCTTCTGGTGTTTTAGTCATGAAGTCCTTGCCTATGCCTATGTCCTGAATGGTTTTGCCTAGGTTTTCCTCTCGGGTTTTTATGGTGATGGTGTTAGGTCTTTTGTTTAAGTCTTTAATCTATCTGAAGTGAATTTTAGTGTAAGGTGTCAGGAAGGGGTCTAGTTTCTGTTTTCTGTACATGGCTAGCCAGTTTTCCCAACACTATTTATTAAACAGGGAATCTTTGCCCCATTGCTTGTTTTTGCCAGGTTTGTCAAAGATCGGTTGGTTGTAGATGTGTGGTGTTGCCTCTGAGGCATCTGTTCTATTCCATTGTTCTATCTCTCTGTTTTGGTACCAGTACCATGCTGTTTTGCTTACTGTAGCCTTGTAGTATAGTTTGAAGTCAGATAGCATGATGCCTCCAGTTTTGTCCTTTTTGTTTAGGATTGTCTTGGCTATGCGGGCTCTCTTTCTGTTCCATATAAAGTTTAAGGTGGTTTTTTCCAGTTCTGTGAAAAAGGTCATTGGTAGCTTGATGGGGATAGCATTGAATCTGCAAATTACGTTGGGCAATATGGCCATTTTCATGATACTGATTCTTCCTAACCATATGCATGGAATGTTTCTCCATGTGTTTGTGTCCTCTCTTATTTCATTGAGCAGTGGTTTGTTGTTCTCTTTGAAGAGGTCCTTTACATTCTTAGTCAGTTGTATTCCTAGGTATTTTATTCTCTTTGTTGCAATTGTGAATGGCAGTTCATTCTTGATTTTGCTCTCTTTAAGTCTGTTATTGGTGTATAGGAATGTTTGTGATTTTTGCACATTGATTTTAAAGTATCTATTGTTTCTACTTTCTCTGTAATCTTCGCTAGCTTCGAATGTAAGAAAGCTGACTTTTCGTAAAAATATCTTCCCAAAATTTTTGAGTTGTTAGAAAACTAAAGATCTCAAGTTTTAATTTTTAGATAGACTATATTACCATATCCTGTAGTGTTTCACATATCTATACTTTTCTAAAAGGAAAACAATTTTAATAATAAAAATTTTTAATAAAAAGGAAATGAAAAGGAACATTAACAGTTCAGTAGCTACCATATGCTAGCTGCTTTACAATACTGTCTAATTGTAATGAAGTAAAATATTAATATTACTGTGTAAAATCATATAAAGAATCATAACTGAATTTATAACTTTATTAAAGCTAAAAAAATGTTAAAATTTTTTAATTAAAAACTTAAATCTAAATTCCTTTACAGTATAATTCCATTTTGATTGAAATGACTGTAAAAATTACTATCTTGTCATTATAATGATGTATTAGTCCATTCTCATGCAGCTATGAAGAAATACCTGAGACTGGGTAATTTATAAATGAAAGAGGTTTAATTGGCTCACAGTCCTACATGGCTAGGGAGGCCTCGGGAAACTTACAATCATGATGGAAGGCACTTCTTCATAGGGTGGCAGGAGAGAGAATAATTGCAAGTAGGGGACATGCCAGACACTTATAAAACCATTACATCTTGTGAGATTAACTCACAAGATCCAATTACCTACACCTACCTGGTCTCACCCATGACATGGGATTATTAGAATTCAAAGTGAGGTTTGGGTGGGGATGAAGAGATAAATAATATCATTCCACTCCCAGCCTCTCCCAAATTTCATTTGCTCGCATTTCAAAACACAATCATGTCTTTCCAATAGTCCCCCAAAGTCTTAACTCATTAAGACATTACAACATTAGCTCAAAAGTCCAAGTCCAAAGTCTCATCTGAGACAAGGCAAGTTCCTTCTGCCTATGAGCCTGTAAAATCAAAAGCAAGTTAGTAACTTCCTAGATACAATGGGGATACGGGGAGAAATTGGCTAAAACAAAGGGGCTACAGACCCCATGCAAGTCCTAAATATAATCATTAAACCTTAAAGTTCCAAAATGATTTCCTTTGACTCCATGTCTCACATCCAGGTCATGCTGATGCAAGAGGTGGTTCCCATGGCCTTGGGAAGCTCTGCCCCTGGGGCTTTGCAAGGTTACAGTCCCACTCCCAGGTGCTTTCATCAGGGAGCATTGAGGGTCTACTGATTTTCAAGGCACATAGTGCAAGCTGTCAGTGAATCTACCATTCTGGGGGCTGGAGGATTGTGGTCCTCTTCCCAAAGCTCCACCAGCTAGTGCCCAGTGGGGACTCTGTGTAGGGGCTCCAACCCCACATTTTCCCTTGCACTGCTCTAGCAGAGGTTCTCCATGAGGGTTCCATCATTGGACCAAACTTCTGCTTGGGTATCCAGGCATTTCTATACATCCTGTGAAATCGAGGTGGAGGTTTCCAAAGCTCACTTCTTGATGTCTGTGTACCTGTAGACCCAATACCCCATGTAAGCTGCCAAGGCTTGGGGCTTGCACTCTCTGAAGCAATGTCATTAGCTATACCTTGGCCTCCATCAGACATGGCTGGAGCTGAAGCAGCTGGGATGCAGGACACCATGTCTCAAAGATGCATAGAACGGGGTGTCCCTGGGCTGGGACTACACAGCCATTTTTCTCTCCTAGATCTCCAGGCCTGTGATGGGAGGGGCTGCCCCAAAAGTCTCTGACATGCCCTAGAAACATTTTCCCCATTGTCTTGGTGATTAACATTCTACTCCTCATTAATTATGCAAATTTATGCAGCAGGCTTGAATTTCTCCTCCCCAGAAAACTTTTTTTTTCCTATTTTATCATCAGTTGTGATCACTAGGCTGCAATTTTTCCAAACTTTTATGCTGTGCTTCCTCTTAAATGCTTTGCCACTTAGGAATTTCTTCTGCTAAATATCCTAAGTCATCACTCTCAAGTTCAAAGTCCCACAGATTTCTAGGGTAGGGGCAAAATGCCACCAGTCTCTTTGCTAAAGCATAGCAAGAGTGACCTTTACTCCAGTTTCCAACAAGTTTCTCATCTCCATCTCAGACTACCTCAGCCTAGACTTCATTGTCCATATCAACATCAGCAGTTTGGTCAAAGCCATTCAACAAGTCTCTAGGAAGTTCCAAACTTTCCTACATCTTCCTCTCTTCTGAGCTCTCCAAACTGTTCCAGCCTCCACTTGTTACCCAGTTCCAAAGTAGCTTCCACATTTTTGGGTATCTTTATAGCAGCACCCCATTCTGTTGTGCTAATTTACTATATTATTCCTTTCTTATACTGCTACGAAGAAATACCAAAGCCTGGGTAATTTATAAAGAAAAGAGGTTTAAATTGACTCACAGTTCCAAGTGGTTGGGGAGGCCTCAGAAAACTTACAAGCATAGTAGAGGGCAGCTTTTCACAAGCTGGCAGTAC